GCTAAATCCCCGGCCCTAGCTCAATAATCTTTATCGGAGGTGCAGGTCTTAGACTTTGAGCAAGGGCATGCACTGGAAAGAGGGCTTTACTAATACTAATTATTTTTTTCTTAATGTTAAGGAAACTTTTCCTGAAGGTTTGATTTTCTTCTCCTTTATATTATAAGTTCACATTACTAAATTGGGAAGCCAAGGAATCATTCTGTCATGTTTCTTACCAAGTATCAAAGTTGGTGTTCAGGATGGGGTGGGTGTAGGGGTGGTGCAGGAGCAGCAGGTGGTAGGGATGGAATTTCTGAGGCACTGTTCTTGGCCCTTTTTGAGTCAACTGTTCTTTTCCTGAACCACTTTATTTTCAGAGGGCAGTTACTATTATTAGAGAGCCACCTCTAGTGTTATTGTTGCAGAGAAATTGAGCACAGCCAATGATGTAATAATACAAAAGAACCAGAACCAGAAAGAAATGGCTAGTCAGCAACTGTTGCTGCTATTGTTTTTAAGTGCATTCTTATAGCAAAATTTCTCATTTCCATTGCTGCAGATTTAAAGTAAGTGGTGAAAAACTGTTCTATAGGGCTGATGCTGTAGGTCGAATGAGGTCCTGGGTTCAGCCTCCAGTATGGCAAAATGAACAAAAACAAATGAAAAAAACCAACCAACCTGTCTGCCAACCCCGCCTCCCAAACAAATGTGGTCTATAGTATATTACAATATATACAATTTAGTGAAAAAAACCCATGTCATTATTATTGTTTGTACTTTTTGAGATAATACAAATTTGTAATTATATGATTGAAATTTGTAATTTTTTTTTCAAGAGATTAGAAAAATTGGAGTTTTTATTCATTGTTAGTCTCTGGCACTCATTATGCACTGAAGTGTTTAAATTTAATTGAAAAGCTGGTTTAGGACTGTTAGCTTTTTTTGTTTTTGGTACTGGGAATTGAACCCGGGACCTTGCACTTGTGAGGCAAGCAGGGGAACCACTGAGCTAAATCCCCTGCAGCTTTTTTTTTTTTTTGAGGCAGAGTCTTGCTTTGTAATTCAGGGTGTCATTGAATTCAAGGTGGTCCTCCTGCCTCAGCCTGCCCCAGCCTGCCCAGTGCTGGGACTACAGGTGTGCGGCACCAGGCCTAGCTTGTTAGCCTTTCTTTTTTTTTTTTCGAGACAGGGTCTTGCTATGTAGTTCAGGCTAGTCTTGGGCTTACTATGTAGCCCAGGCTGGCCTGGAACTCCTGGTCATCCTCCTGCCTCAGCCTCCTGAGTGCTGAGATCACAGACATGCACAATCATGCCCAGCTTGTTAGTCTTTCTTTTCTGTTTGGAAGTTGTTCTTTAACTTGATCTTACTATAGTTTATTAATTCATGGGAATTTTTAATATTGAAAACTATGATTTTCTTGTCTCTTGCATAATTTTATAATGGTTATTATGAAAACTTGATAAATGTGGATTTCCATGTGAATTTGAGTGTCAGTGGAGTTTTTCCCATTCTGAATGTTTTAATTTACTACACTTTCCTACTGTATTCTCTAAATCTGTGATTCCAGGTTTATAGTTAGTATGCAGGGTGACAAGCCACACTGATTACTTCTGTCCACTGTTTTTGCAAAATCGTTTTATTCTCCAGGCCACACTCAGATTTTTCTGGGCACATAGTGGTTGTTCAGTGCTGTATCTTTTAAATGGGTTACAGTTTATGACTAAAAGGCTTCCATGGGATCTCACTGACCTTCCAAAATAAATATGGTTAGTTTTTAGGTATAAAGAACGTAAGATACTCTGTATGCACTCTTGCCTAGGGAGAGATGTGAGGTAGGCTGGATAGGATGAACTTTCTCACCATTGTGTATGTATGTGTCCCTTTAATTCTTTTCTGTATTGTTTTGGCTTGTTTTTATTTTTCAATTTTAGCAAGGTGATTAATCCCTTTTTCTTTTCTTAAAATTTTCTTTATCATGGTGGGCTAGGGATTTAGCTCAGTGGTGCTGTGCTTGCCTCGAAAGCGCAAGGTCCTGAGTTTGATCCCTGCTACTGGGAAGGAGGGGGGATTCTTT